CCGCGGGGGGTGGAGGAGGAAGAAGGCGACAGCTGAGGGCAGAGGAGGTGAAGGTGCCTGCCTTCTCGGTAGCCTCCTTGTCTGCATGCCCGCTTCGCGAGGGGAAGCGCTGCTCCGGCTGACCTACTCTCCTCTCCACTCTCTCTTTGTGCAATAAAGTTCGAAACCCAAGGTTTCCTTTCGTACTGTATTTTATTCACGCCCTTTTCCCCTGCTCCCACCCCGTTGGAAAGATGTTTTCTGTGTTTTTCTACTTACATGAAGGAATGAGAACTCTCGCTTTTTAAAATAATTTTTGACTCTTATCCTCACCCTCTTTTTTTAAAATCAGTAGTCATGGAAATGCATTCTTTCGGGGAGGAAGGGGGTGCTAAGAAAAACATATTGGTAGTAACTTTTTAAAAACTGTTGGGATCTTGTAAAAGGGAAGCTGATGTTTGAAAACAGTTTCGGTTTTAACCCTTTTCAATAAGGGAATAATCACTTGAGAGATTTTGAAACACTTCGTTGAAACATATTAGCCGATGTACTTTTGTTTTACATCACCTTTTTTGGGGGGGGCGGGCAACCGTGGTGTTGGGTCTTCTGGATCTCCCCATGTACCCCCTGCCATGTTTCGCACATCTTTCTGTCTAAATGTAAACAAGAGATTGGTTAATACTAATTCTAAAAATAGGCATTTAAAAGTATCCATTATTAGTCTAGCGTGCGGTAGGTAACCCCAGCCCCAGAGCGACAATAATTTAAGCCGCAAGGTTTATTTTTTCTTTCCCTGTTGGGGAAGAGGGACAGCAGAAAAGTCATTGACACATCAAAGATTAAAAGACAATTTTTAAAGGACCTGGGATATGACCTATTTAAGTTTGTCTTGCCTTCTTCAGAAGTTAGAATTTCATGCTAGCCTTAGCTTGCAACAGTTTTGCCTTCTAAAGGTTTAAGTTAATATAAAAGATACTTTTGGTTGCCAGCTATTGAAATCTTTTACACTCATTTCCTGAATTAAAAAATAAAGCCAAAATGGTTATTTTAAGTGATGCAAAAGATGAACAGGTTATTTGTTTTTAAAATACTCACCTGTCTCAGGGTGTGATAGAATTGTGATTGATACAAGGTTTCTTGTTAGGAATAAATATTATTAGTAGAAGTACTGTCTTCTGATTTTCTGTTTGCAAGTCACTTTTCCAAAACCTACTTTGCTGTATTGCAAGTCTTTAAAAAACCACCTTAGCAATTTGTCATTACCAAGAAACAATTAAGATGTAATAAAGAGTTTTTCCATAAGAATTGGGAAGATGATTTTATTTCCAAACACTGAGGAAATTATGGTCTTGATGATACTATAGATTACTGGTTTTCCTTAACGATTTTCTGCAAACCAGCATAAGTTGAGTAACAGACTATATGACAATGACTCTTCCTTTGTTGAATTAGGAAAAAAAGTTTTCTAGTAGGATTTTTCTTCAGTCTTATCCAAAAGATTTTTTAGAAAATTTTATTTATAAATTCATAATCTAATTCTTTTAGTAATCTCAGGTGAAACTTTTTAAACTTTTATATTCATTAATATTTGAATATTCATTTAGAGCTTGTTACTAAATTATACTTTTGCTCCCTCCCAGGGATCAGCAGAAATTACAGTTAAATCTGCTTGAACCTTTTTTTAATGGACATGTATTCAGAAAGCCAATGAGTCTTTGACACAAATTGACTGAAGAATATTAAAAGGACACTTTTTATGGAATTTAAGACTTTAGTGTTACACTTTTCGAATGATTTTTTTTTCCACATAAGGACCTAAGGAAACTTAGAAACCTGATTCATAAAATGGCACCTTCCTTTTTCTGCTTTCTGAAATTCATTTTCATGATTAGATCTGATTAATAGACTTTTTGTTTCTTCATAGAGAAGTAGCTTTATTTTGTTTTTCATTCTAAGACATTGGGTTTTGTTTTGGGGGATATAATATGGTTGCAGTAAAACCAAGTATATGTCTCCCACTTCACCTCATTTTAAAAATCTTTTTCCTTTTTTTACACAGTAGAAAAAAATTATTTACTTGTAACCTAATGCTTACAATGTATCACTGAAATTTATAATTTCATTTCAGTATCTTATCAGGAATGGTTATGTAGACTTGTTTATAGCCAGCCTGTGACATAATCTTGTAAGCATATCTTTCTTCATGTTACAGTGTCACCTCCAGTGATGGCTTCTTTATTGAATAGTTAGAGCTCAAATCTGAATTTAAGGATATAGGGAATGGAAAAAATGAAAAGATTGGTTTTTTTCTTACTCATGTATGAACTCATCTCTACATTATCACTTGAGACACAGTTTGTGGTACTTCAAATATTTAGCATTTACTGTGACAGAGAATGTAGTTAATGGAAAGAGCATGGGGTTTGGGAATCACATGCCAGTTTGAATCCTCCTGTTGCCACTACTATCATGTGCCTACCCTCAAGGAATTTTGTGACCTACAAGAAGTTTCTTGATCTTTCTCAGCCTTAGTTTCCTTATCTGATAAAGCTACTTTATAGCATTGTGAGATAATTATAAAGTACTTCCTTAAGGATTCAATTAATGACAGCTATTTATTTTTAAGGTTTATTTTAACTTCCTAGCTTGGAACCTTGGGCAAGTTTCTTCTCCATACCTCAATTTGCTTGGTCATAAGTGTACAATATCTAGCTCATACAAATGTGGGAATTAAATAAGTTAATGCATATTAAACATGAGGCATGTCACAAGTGCTCAACAAGTGTTTCCTATTATGTTTTAAATTATTCATCATAATTGTTACTGTGTTTTAATACACTGGGCCAGAAGCTGCAGCGAATCCAAAGATGAATTACATTGTCATATCTCTACCCTCAAGGAACTTTTGGGGACATGATGACTAACAATGCAGAGTATTATGTCATCAGAAAGCAGTCAAAGGAAAGAGAGATCACACCTGAAGATGGAAGAAAGGATTATGTTTTGTATTTCCAGTTTTATTTTTTTAATAAATAATTCATTCAGATAGTCCATAATTCAAAACACATAGGATGTAATACAGCAGGGAGTCATGTGTTTTGCCCTCCAGTCACCCAAGTGGCACCAATTTCTTGTTTGTCCTTTCAGAGGTGTTCTGTCCATACACAAGCAAATATGTATGTACTCTCCTCCCCGCCCATCCCTTTTGTACAAATGATAGTATACTATGTACACTCATATATCTTGCTATTTTCACTTAACATGGTTTAGCAGTTGGTTTGTGTCAGGACATAAAGAGCTTCATTCTTTTAATTATGAGGCACCTCATCATCTGGATATACCTGTGTTTGTTAACCGGTTGGTGAGCTGATTTTATTTTTAGCTCTTTTGTGACCATTTAAATAAAGTAAGGAATGCTGTCATTATGCCTTTATTTCTTTAAATGAAAGATTTCGTTTGAATGAGAGATGCCAATTTGGAAATTATTTGAACTGCCTTAATTACCTTTTTAGTTTCAGGGTTTTTTTTTAACGTTTTATTAAAATGATCGCGATGTACATGAAGAGGAAAGCAAGCTGTAGAAGATTTAAGTCTCAAAGTGAATTTAATCTGAATTTAACTCTTGTTGTGGTTCTTATAGCCCTGAACAAACTACTTCCTTCTGTTATTTCAACCAAAAATAGTCTATAGTTTTCTCTCTGAATGAGAAAGAACATCTCATGTAGTCCAGACCTTTTATTAAACAGACTATTCTCATGGACTATTACTACCCAGTAATCCTGATTAGTGTACTAGCTTTCTCCGAGTTAATTTTTTAT